GGACGAAGATGAAAACGCTACGAACTTATGGAACGACCTAATATTTAGTGGCAGGCCGTGCATGGTGAGAAACTTTGAAAACTGCGAAACTTTTGCTTAGAAATTTTGCTATATGTCAACTATGACACAGAACAACCACTATTCCAGAAAAATGTTAACATCATCCTGTTTCTACTAACTACGCCACTGGACTGCCCGCTGACAAAAAGGAGCTTCATATGAAAAGAAAAACTACCGTCTGACGCAGCAAAACGTTGCTAAGCACATTATTCATATGAGCATGTAGGTGTTAGAAAACATCTGCCGTTCTGCTGATAAATGGCATGTTCTTACTCGAAAGGGTATAACATGATACCAGACTATGTTTGCAGTTGCCTGGAGTGAACACGGCATAGCGATCATACCTCTTGCATCTGACAGCTGCTTTCTTTCAGCCTCGCGCTGTTCCTTTGATATTGAAGAACGCAACCCAAGAGTGTGTTCCACCATGCGACGCGCAACGACTGCGTTAGTTTTCGGGCGAGCCCTGAAAAAACGTATAGATATCATAGTAAGGACGGCAAACACTACTTTAAAAATACCTAGCGGGCCTCAGCTGCCCCTGGATCTCTTTGGCTTTTTCTTGAACATGTGCCGGAGACTTTGAGAGCGGTCGAAGACGCAGCCACTGGTGTTTGTGAAGGACCAGAGCGTCTTTGGCTAAAATGCACAATCAGGTTAATTATTCTCTATTGAGTTGTGCAAGGAAAATAAATCCCAGAAAATGAAATCACACCTTGTCGTTCACTGGCAAAAACGACGAAAACCAATTTCCGCTCTAACCATTTTACGACTGCATTACCCCAATCGGTGGATGCCAGAGCATTAGTTACGTCTTCGGCCAATTTATATTCGGGAATGTCATAAGCTTCCAAGACATGACCCAGAACTGAAAATCTTTATAATTAGACAACTTGCATTTGACTTTCAACTATTTACACGAAGGATCCCACGACGAAGAGTGAGTAACAATAGGAGGGGCGAAGTAATTGATACGAGGTTTTGCAGCCTTGGCAGCGACTTCCAGCTTCAACGCTTTTACCTGGAATCAGACTAATGGATAAAATTGATTGACGATCAAAACAACCTGCTGCTCCAATTTCGTATCATCAAGGTTCTCCCAAGAATCCTTTTCATCGCTATCGCTATCCGCGGCATCTCCACAAAGATTTTTGGGTAAATCTGGCGCACTGGAATACGACGTCGACTGCGCCGGCGCATCCGAGATTGGGACCGCTTTCTCAGATCCATCGCCTTTTGAAGCCACATTTTCGACTCCGAGTGCCGATGGGAGATGCTTCGGAGAGTATTCAGGGGTGTTCCACTGATCCATATACAAAGATCGAGCTGCTTTACTTTGCTCTGGCTTCCAAAAAGTGGAAGAACGATCCTATAAGGATGTAAGGCTACAAAATGATGTGACAAATGACAATGACCCCTACAACGCAGCTTGCATGGACATAAAAAGACTTCATGAAAGTTCGAGTCCTTTTACAGTGATACAGTTAAATTCTACTTTTTTCCAAAATATCACTAAAAAAATCGCCTTGTTCCCACCTTAATACAAGGTAAGAACAATACTTTATGATAGTGATAGATATAGTGATAGTGACACTTACTTTGGGATCAGTCCCAGGAGGTGTTAAAGCAATCCCGGAGAACAAACTTTCAATAACTTCTTTCGATAAAATCTCTGCGTCACTTTCACAAGAAACTGGATCGTTGCTGATACTTTCTGGCGTCGTAGCTGGAACTTGCGATACGAATAAGAAACTACGCAAACATACACTGACCGCGAAAGCACTGATCGAAACTGATGAACTGAGCACCCCCACCAACAAAATTTTCGCGCCTAATTCCAGCAGGCTCGAACAACTCCCCAGGATTGAAAGGATCCCGCTCAACAGTCAAACCTGGAACATAAAAAATCCTAATAGTACATGAACGATGTTTCATGTATAACGTGTGCTGCTAGCAAATCAACTTGTGGTTAATAATATAATAATATACGTGAACAAAGCGAAATTCCGTCACAGATTCCGAATATTTTGCAATGTGTTCGAATGGATCAACCACGTAAGAGGTGTCAATCATAAAGATGTTTTATGCAAGTTCACTAGAGCAGCACATGAAGAACTCTGCAAAGAGGCGACACAACGACCCACCCTTCCAAAGTGATGAAGGATTCTGCGTCAGAGGTTCCGACACTCGACGACGATTAGATGACGTTTTCAAATCCCTTCCTGCTCTTCTCCTAATCAGTGCTTCGGACTTTGGTGTTAGCACTGTAATAAAACACAGATTTTCAACAGAAGACAACTGGAGCTAAAAACACCTACGTGGTTGGAAAGTTTCAGTGAGCAGCGGGAAGGGTTGAGCAGTAGGACTGCACTCG